AATTTTGAGTTTTTTTAAGAATAAGAAAAAAATTAAATTTAGTTATATCTCTGTAATAAAGGACTTTAGAGATATAAAACTAGGCTGCTTATATATAAAATTTTGTCAGAAACAATTTTACTTAGGCAGCCAAAGTAGGTTTACTTAGTAAAATATTAAGAAAAGTGCAATTGTTTTTAGCAAAAACTTGGTACAAGTGATCGTCAGGAAGAGTTAGTGATTTGCGTTTCAAATTAATTTTTGTTAAATTTATATTTTAATAAATTTATTTTTATTTTATTTTATTTTTTTATTAATTGGTAATAAATGGATAATATTACAAACCTTTACTTGGATAAACTATATATATTCTTCTAATACAATCTCTGCGTTGGCGGTTTTTTTCATATTTTAATCACCTTATTCTATGTGTAGTTCAAAAAAATATTAGCATAGAGTAGATCTCACACATCTGGGTCCTGTGCATTCATTTTGAAGTATTTGGTAAGAGTTGTTTGCTGATTTTGGTCAGCTTCAATAAATCTCTCTAGAGGAATATTTTCATTAAAATTAATTCTTTGTTGGTCACGAAGATATATCTATAAATATGTAATAGCTGGATTCATTCTATTCATATTAAATCCTAGGATTCTCTAGACAGCTTTTGGAGCTGATATCCATCGTGCTTCAACAAAATTTTGAATCTCATCGATTACAACTAATGAATGTTGATCATTATGTTGATGCTTATTAGTTACTTTGTCATTGCTCTGTTGTGGCCCTTATAGACATTTTTAAATAAATATTTTATTGCTTTAATGCTAACACAAATTTCTATATTAATATGGCAGCTGTATTTCACACAAAGGAATCTATTGTATGGAACAACCCATCAATTATCTAGAAGAATTGTTTGATTTCTTACTTTCACCTCAACTTGATGATCATCTTGTTGGCGGCAGTATATAGGGTATGAATTTTTTTCTTGTAAAGTCTTACTCTAAAATTGTTTAGGATATCTTTTTGCGTATCATTTGTGCCTCATATCATTATCAATCATGCATAGAGCATTAGGATTGAGCTCTCCGCATAGTTTATGAATCATATTAAAGCAACTGTGGCATATATAATGAGATTAACTGTTGGATCAGGTATCTCAGCACTGACAATGATATCATAATCTTTAACTGTTTTTAGCTTATCTTCTGAATGGAGTATAATTAAAATGTGTATATGCGTAAGACCTCACTTTTTTTTTTTTTTTTTTTTTTTTTAAGGTGTCCTTCGGGACCGAGCTTTATTGATGTTTAACTGTTAACCATGTGGGTCTTATATTTAGTATTACAACGAGAGTACAACTAGCCACATGTACAACTTTTGGTTGCCTATTTAAGTAGTCCGCCTGAAGGTTCTACACTAGATGCCAT